TTTCGCCTCCAGTTTCCTATTCATTATGGATCATCACTTCTACGCCATAAACATTTCTGCTGGTCTTCACTACTGAGTTTGATTTCATTACACACACACACACATGTATATATACTATATATATATATATATATATATAATTACAAATCAATTCTTTTGAAAATAAAACACAAACCTGCCTAGTTATTTTCGCGCATTAAGTTGCAGAAAAATTATCATTAAAGGCATAAAGTAAGAAATTTAGAACTATAATTTTAAATTTAATTATTATGAATTTCAATTTCTGGTCTTTGTGAAACATTAGTTCTAAATTTCTTACTTTATGTCTTTATATATATAGATATATATATATATATGATGTATCAGCTTTTGTCGTAGCTTAAATTATCAGACGATAAGTTTAAAAAACAAAATTCATTTATTATTATTCAGGAGAAATAGCAGTTACAAAATCAGATATCCGGAGTAAATAAAAACAATTAGTAATAACTTTTTGTATGAAGTTTACTGCATCGTTGCATTAAAGAAAAAGCCCCCGATATTCCTTTGCGAGTCCTTTTATAGCTTCTGGAAAGGCGGAGCTTCCAAGAAAATGACGTCAGCCTCGTCAGCCAATCCAGTTCGCTTTAAATATTTCCAGAACATTCTATAACTGTACATGTAGAAAAGGCGGGAAAAACAACTTGACTACGGGGCTGTGGATTTAATTCCATGTACTTTCAAATAAGAGAACGTCGCCATTAAAAATGAAAAGAACATACAGTTAGAATTTTAAGTGTATTCTTGACTATGGAATTTTATTATTACATATATATACCCATTCTGTTACTCGGTCCAGTAAGCTCAATTTTTTTTATTCTCATATGTTGGTAAATTGTGCATTTTTTGCTTTAAAAATGATTGAATTATGTTATTCTTATGTTCCGGTTAAGGTTTTTTATGCCTTTAGTTAATCTGCATGCAATATTTTTAGAATTATCTACAACGTAAAAGTTGTTCAAGTGTTCCTATTTTTCACAGATTCAGACCAAATGTCGTAAACCTTTTTCGCATAACATCACTCATTTCCTTTCAGTAAAATAAAAATCACAAAATATGTTTAAATGGAAACAAACTGCTTCTATTTTAGATCGTAGCCGCTTACACTTGTTTGAATTCGCTCGAAGCTAGACTGCAAAAGGCGCAATAAGAAGGAGCAGGAACAGAAAAGTGTCGCGACGGAATTTGCGTGCTCAGCTTTATTGAGTCGATTTAAATCCCTCGTTTCCGGCTTTTACTGGAAGCTGTTCGTAATTCCTAGGTTTTACCGCAAAAGCTTGGTAAAAGTTCGAAATGAAATCATATTAAAGCATACTTCGGACTTTTACCAAGCCACTTTGGTAAAAGCTAAGTTTTATAGGTCAAACCTAGGACTTACCAGACTTCGGGTTTTTGCAGTTAAACTGTTCTTCTTTCATTTAGTTTTAATCTTAAATTATTATCCTCTTTTAATATTGTTCTGTATTTATTTTTCAAAAATATCATGGAAGAAAACCACTGTTTACACACTTAGTTTGTGCAAAAAACAATAAAAATTTAATTGCTTTGTTGAAATGCCTTTAAATTCTTTTTTTTTTAATAGTTTCAGCCGAAAGTTAACATGTGTTTCATTATTAAAATATTCAGTTAGAGTTAGTTCGATCACAGGAAATTTCTATCAGCTGCTCTTTTTCTTCACGAGATAAAATTTCAGGTACATTTTAACAAAATAGATTCTTAACCCAATTTTCTTTTTTTCTTTATCATAATCCTCGGGAAAATACATATTGAAATTATTTACCAATGAAAAACAATAATTTTTAATGTCGGATGCTAATTTTTCTTTTAGTTTCAAATTATTTTCGGTTAGAAAACTTTCTAAAAGTAGAATAATGCTTAAAATATTATTATCCAATTCTTTGATTTTTTAGCTCGAATTCTTTCATGATTGCACTTTTATTTTATCTTTAATGATAAACGAATTACACTTTCTCCTTGTAATCCTAAATTTAATTCATTTAATGTTCCAAAAATTCAGCTAAATATGCTAAGCGCTCCAACCATAATTCAGTAAATAAATATTTTTGAAATTCAAATTTTGAATCACAGAGAAATTTGAATTTCTGAACGAAGTTCAAAAAGACGATACGATTTAAAACTTTGCTTCTGGATAACCACCTTAGTACGAAGCGTAATAAAAGCGTTTCATTGCCCATCTCTTGGCATAACATCGTAAATATTCTTGAATTTAAAGCTCAACTTTTAATAAAATTAACAATTTTCACAGCTTGATTCCAAACGATTTTCAGGTTTTCGGGAACTGTTTTGGTTACTTCACGATGAATGGAAGCTTCACGATGAATGAAGCAGTAAATAATTTAGTTTCACGTGCGACTTTCTTTATTTGAGAAATAACACCGGAATGTATTCCTGTTAAAGCCCCGAGCTCCATATGCACTTATTCCAAAGAATATCATTCTCGGAATTCCAAAGAATTAATTCATTTCAAAGTAATTAAAATTGTCAATTACTTTGAAAATTTCAATTGCATTTGCTTTATCATGAAGAGATTCACAAAATATAAATATTCTTCATCTTCTTCAAAACGTGTGTAAGCTAATAATTGAACACAGTTCGTTACATCACTACCTTCATCCAGTTTTGCAATGCGAAATAGTTATTGTGTTTTATTTTTTGAATAAGTGCCTCTTTTATGGAATTTGCCATTTCATAAATTCGTCTACTTACTGTATCATTTCATAATGGAGTAATATTAATTTCATTAGCTACTTTTTCATTGTATAATTTTAAAACGATATCATTAGCTTCTGGTAATCTATGGTTTTTTTTCCAATAGTGTAAGCCTGCCCAAGTGCCGTTGTCAACGTTTGAATTTAAATATTCGATATTATTTAATTTACATCGCCATAAGTTGTCTAGTAGTGTTGTAAGATTAATGTTCAACTACGAGACCATATACAAGCTTATTATCATGCACATTTTAGAAAAACTATTTTACAATAAAGATTTCATCTCTATTACAAAATATTCTACTACAAAATATTCTACTACAAATATTCTACTTAAAGTGCTCCTTAAGCTTCGTTTCACGCTGAGGTATCTTAAGCTGGAAAATCATATGTTGATTCTACTAAGATTAATTGAAACTTATTAGCTCTGTAGACAAGTTTGTGAATTTCATTTTCAGTCTGAAATGTGAATACTATTGTGCATATTAATCAAAATATGCTTGAATTATTTGAAAACTCAAAGTATCACTTTTAAATACTTATCACACTTCATAACTTCAGGCATTCCGACTCGAATTTTAAATCTCAAAATGTTTTTAAAAACCATTGTTTGGTGCTGAAAATTTCTCTTAAAAATGTCATGGTATTTAGAGGTTGAAAGCTGAAAGCTTGCCTTGGGCGAATATATTAACAATGGCTGGCTCTGAATAAGAATTTTGCGACTAAATGAATCTAAGGCATCTATTCTGAACAAAGGTATATAGAATTTCTCCTCTCAAGCTTAAATATGCAAGATGGAAAAAGGAAATGGAAGTAATAATTTTGAATCATTTCTGCAGAATAGCTTTTCTGGTAATTTTGTATTTGCTCTCAGTATTATTACTGTTGCATTAGGATATTAAATAACGCAAATAGAACTCGAAAAATGCGAAATCAATTCTTGGAAGAAACTTTTGTACGGAAATTGTTAGAAAATATACATTTGCGGATTCAGTTTCAGAGAATATTTAGAAAAAGAAATAAAACACAATATCTTGATCGTAAGCCTTCAAATTAATGCCTGTGTAATTCTTTAAAGCATTTTTTTGTATACAGATTAATACTCTAATTATAACATTATTTTATGCTCTTTTTTAATTAACTCGAAGGAATTTCAGACGCTAGGTTTATAATTAATACAATAACACGTGTTTTTAATTAACGCGATTTTGATTTTTAATAATCTCAAGTTTCATATAATCTTTGAGGATTTGAATTTATACCTCCCATTTAATTTCATGGTATTAGAAATGGACTCAAAATCTTGTTTGTCAGAGAGAAGCTTTATTAAATTTCTAAAAATTCTATATTTTAGGAAAGCAGTTGAAAGTAAAGTTGATTTACACTTTATTTCCTTCAAATTAGTTTACAACTCCTGAACACATTTGTCAACGACATTCATAATGATGAGGCCTTTTTTTTATTTATTTACTTGCTGCATCCTTAGGCACTACACGGAAGGGAGAGATGCCTTTGTTGAAGACTTTATAAAGGAAACTTGGCTCGCATACACGTTACACATAGAGAAAACCACCAAAACGTCCATCTCGCCAGTCCGTTCGCGTTGAATTTTAAGGGGAGTAAGTAGGGAAAAGTGATATTTAATAAATAGAGTTAAAACACAAAACATTAATACTAGAAAGATTAAAAAAAGTTTTATAAAGCTATTTTAGTAAGAAATCTGAACATTGATATAAATGATAAAATGAGAAAAGACTGGAAAAAAAATAGAAAAAACGATGCCAACATTGCACTGGAAATTCTAAACATATGCTGCTATGCTGCTTTTAAAATGGTCATAATTTTGCTGTTGAATTTCAAATGGCGTACGTGCGATGAAAGTGATGTTTAATAATAAAGCTGAAGATACAGAAAGAAATGGGTTAGCACATACATATATGTGGTTATACATATATGTGTGCAATTTGTCAATTGCATTAAACCACGTTTCATCTGCAAGGGGGAGGGTCAGAAAATATACTTGTGCAGACGTGTTCAGGTTCCGCTCACGAAATTAGAACAACACTGTATGTTTTACGTTTCAGTTCAGCTTAGAAATTCAGAAACAATAAATATGGCTTGAAATGAATTAAAAATTTGATTTAATGTTTAAGAAGGGCAAAAAAATTAAGACTATGATAAGTTCGATGTTTTTGAATCATTGTAATAAACAAAAAGAAAATGTGTTCACACCTTTATTCGTACCTTTACTGAGAGACGAAAGGCGCTGAGGATCCATGATGGGAGAATCGTTTGTCTTTCCACCTGAAAAAATAAAAATAGCAATGTGCTGTAAAGCAGTACAGTTAAAAGTAGCTCCAATGTTTTGAGCTATGAATGACTGTAACAAACATTAAATTATGAATGTATTTTCAGTTACCAAATAGAGTTTTACATAAATTTATTTACCCATTAAAAGCTTACGAAAACGTGTATTTGAAATCAGTTAATTTTACAGTTTTGTAAATTTGGACGAATTTCAAATCTCTAAAATATTATTAAAATACGGAATGATTTTAAAATTCTAATATCTCAGCTGTCTGTCTTCTGTCTTTCTGGTACGACATATACTGTGTAGCTGCCGCCGAAAAAAGGCACTGCAGTTATCAAAAACACTGAAAATAATTTATTTCCACTATAAATAAACGAGGTTTTCTATGATTTTTTTTCAGCGATTTGGCAAAACGGGATTATTATTATTCTACCTGTGTTCTAAAGATGCAATGTTACGCTGTGTTGCATTTTGTATGCAGAAGTCATGTAAAATATTTGTGTTATTTATTGCATAAAGTTTGATTTCCGAAGAAGCAAACACTGTCTCTAATATCTCATACACAGCGTTTTATCTTCGAAAGATGGCTCAACATTCATTTTATTTTCTCTCCGAATGCTGGTTTTCCTATAAAGTGGATTGTTTTCCCCTACGAATCATTGCTTAGTCGAGAGGAGTACTTGTTTTTTCCAAAAAGATCGTGAGTTCGATCCCAGTCGAACTCGATAAATATGTAGAGACATTAGGATTTTTTCGAAGCCAGAGAGATGAAAAATGAGCAACGCCTTCGCCGGGAATCGAACCGAGGACCTCTGGAATACGCGCCCAGCGTGCAGACCTCCATACCACGAAGGCATGCTAGGAAGGAGGGAGAAATATCTTATATACTCCTCCTTTTAAAAGGCGACTGGGGTTTTAGGGGACCCAATCGTCAAATCCTGGATGTGGACAATCATCATCCCCCACCCTTTTAGTTCGGGCGTCATTTCAGAGACATTAGGATATTTTGAAGCCAGAGAGATGAGAAATGAGCAACGCCTTCGCTGGGAATCGAACCGAACCGTCTGGAATACGCGCCCAGCACGCAGACTACCACACCACGAAGGCAGGAGAAATACCTTATAAATATTCTGGGACTCTACATATTATTATTTTTCCTCTTATTAAAATTTTGCTTCATTTATTACGTGCTTTGTGTATTTTTATCTTACATTTTTTACTACTATTTAACCAAGAATTTATTTTCGAACTTGTGAAATTCTACGATACGATCTCTCTGTTTCCGGATTGCAAGTCCCTGTCACGTGACTGCCATTTCAGTGTTATTGCTTATTTTGAGATATTGCTTACGTAATTGCTTAGCCAAGAAACTACTTGCCTATATTGAAGTTCACGTTAAAGAAGCCTATCCGTATTTTACCGAAAATCACGAACTTTACTTCTCGGTGCCATTTCAACATGTGATATACGAAAGTAAAAGACAGCAGCCTGAAGACTTCTTCCTATGACTGATGATTCTTGATCCATAATGTGAATCATTGCAAATTTGTTTTACTTCGTAGAAGGTAGACTCTCGCTGTCTGATAGCTCTTGAAACCTCTAGTTTTATTTAAAATCTTTCTTCTCGAGAAAGACAGACCTGCAGTACAATCCCAATGAGCCGAAAGTGAATCAGTCGGAACGCAGAACAATCAAAACAGGTTTAGAAGAATGTTTTATTTCATTGTAAACAATGGAAAAATTGCTATTATAAACCACCAGAACAAAGCATAATTTCTAAAGGAAACAACGAAACGAGAATAAATTTTGGAATATCAGCAGTCATAGCAGATTCTGCTACAGTATTTAGAAAATGTCCACAACAGTTTGATATTTTAATTACACATACTTTTGGAATAAATAAATATTGTTCAATCATTTTTTAAAATATCTCGTACGAAAATTTTTATAGAGGCTGATATAGGTCTATTGAAATTCCTGTAGAACATTTTAGATAATTCTCTAAAAGTATCCTCTCTGTAATCCTCTACAGAAACGCTTCTCTATAAAATTTTATAGAAAATTTATAAAGCTTTCATAGCTCAGTTCTGTAGAAATGTTGATTTGAAAAATCATGTAGAAATTTTAGAGAAGGGCATTCTATAAAATTTATAAAATCTTATTCTACAGAAATTTGAAAAGATTTTAGGCAATAATGACAGCAAATTTTCTGATGTACTGTGTGAGTCATAGAAGAGCTAAAATAGACACTATTTATTCGTAAGTCTTGGATTATTTTTCAATAGCAATTTCTTTTTTTCGTCTAGCTTAACGCTTTTATAGTATTCTGCGAGATTTTTAATGAATTGAATTCTACAAAAAATCTAAAGAGTTTTTAACTAGTAATCAAAGCAAATTTTCAGTTTCTGGTGTGCTATATGAGATATAAAAGTCTTCAAGTAAACTCTATTTTTTCGTGAATCATTTTCTAACGGAAATTTCTGTATTTTTTAAACATTTTTATGGCACTGTATGAGATTTGGATAGAATGGTTGTCAGGACTTGTGTTTCTCTTGATTTGCGTTGGAAACATGAATGGTCCTGAATAGGAACAGGGAGCTTACTCAAGCTATGTTCAAGAAGGTGTGAAGTAGAAAACACAAGCAGGAAGGGTATACGAAACCCTTTATTTTCAATACTTTACAGGTATTTACGAACTTCGGAATACAGAGACCAACCACTTGTGGTCTGAACATAAGAATATAAAAAAAATACTAACTAAAACTCTAACTAAAAGCTAACTTTGAATTAGTATACAAATGCCTAGCATTAAGTCTGGCCTTTATTTAAAAAAGGTACGTATGTAGTACGCCGAGCTGCTAAAACTACGATACGTCTGCAAATATCAAGAGGGCTAAACCTTTGGCCTTAAAGGAAGGCACCCAGCAACAGAGGGAAAACTCGTAAAACTACAGTGGCAAGCGGCTTGCTTCCTATAACTTCTTCTTCTCTCTCTCTCTCTTGGCCGAAAGCCACAACTTAAGTACTTGGGCGTTAGCAAGACAATTTGCATAAACAAGTTAAAGCATTTAATTTTGGCCAGAAGTAGAAAATAAGAAGTGATAGTACAGTTTTAAAGTAAAATAAACGTTAGCAAAACTTAGGATCCTTACATGGTATAGTACAGAATCTGCAGTTTTTAAACAGTAATCAAAGCAAATTTTCAGTTTCTAATATGCTATATGAGATAAATAATTTTTTATTGGATATTTTTTTCTTTTTTCGACTAGCTTAATGCTCTCCTCTTCTATATTTATTTTATACAATAATATGTAATGTTTTGTATAATTTGTTTTTAAAGTACTGCTTATATAATACAGAAATTAAACCTTGTAAAAACTTAAAATCAATTTAAATTGCAAAATTAATTAAAGGATTCAACCTATATGTAGATGGTTATAAAATTTTAATTCCTGAAATAAGCGCTTATTGCACATATATGCAATAAGTAGTGATATGCATTTATATATTCCTGATAAGAGAAATGGTTTCCTAATTTTAATTAAACTTAGGTATTATTCAAAATTTACTTATATTTATTTAATTTTTTTTTTAATCAAAAGGATATTAAAAGTTTCTATTCGGCAACAGTTTAAAAAATTTAAAGTCCTCCCCTTTTATATCAATGTAATTTCAAAATCTAGACAAGATTAAAAAATTGTATACAAAACCGAAAGCTTAATGAATTCTTTTTATTTCAAAAACAAAATTTTATTGATTTTATAATGCTTTTAAATGCAGAAAGTTTTTAGGATTTTTCATAAGAAATTCAAGCCCCCCCTCCAAAAAAATTCTGAAAGCATTCAGATTTTATATCACGCCCAAAGAAGAGTTTTAAAGTTTTGTGTGTTACCTTTATTTATTAAATATCATGTTCTCCTCACTTAAGCCATAAAAGTCAATTCAACAGCAATATCACAAAATGTTTATAAGAGCATAGCTTTAGAATTTTTGATACACAGTCTCGAGCGCTGGAGATAAAAATGTTTTTTGTTTCGTACAGTGTTGCCATTGTATGCTTTGAAATCGTTGAGTTTCTTAATAAAAACTCATAAATGCTTTACGAAGTATGAAATAGATAATAAAAAAATTTCAATTTCCAAATTTAGGCTTCCAAATGCCTATATTCGGATAGAAACGTACGTTATTCAAAATTGGATGGCTCTAGGTACCGTTGTTCAATCACAATGCAAGAAAAATACATACATTTATGTAGATTTTTTGTTCCTTAATTACTTTAAATATAATTCAGTTCTGCAAATTTCTGACCTAGTTTCTATAAAAATTAGGCTTTAAAAGAGTTTAATACTGGAATTTTTTATAGAATTCAATCAGACATTTTCGTAAGCAACCCGTTTTTTTGATGCAAGAGTTTTGGAACAGATAGAATATAAAAAGTAACGTAATATTCCCCCTTAAAAGTGCTAGTTAAAATAAAATTTATAAATTAACTTCGGAAGAAAACACACGGACATAAGATTTAAAATTAGAGAAAAAAGCAACTTGTAGAGACATTAGGTATTTTTTTGGAAGCAGGAAGGATGAAAAATTAACTACGCCTTCGCCGGGAATAGAACCGCGGACCTCTGGAATACCATCCCAGCGTGCAGAACACTACACCACGAAGGTACGCTAGGAAAGCGGGAGAAATACCTTATATACTTTATGTTTTCGTAGATTTCGATTTACTTTTAATTGATTGTGATCGCCCTCAAAATCGATAATTCAAAATGTACACCAGACTAAGGCTGTCTTTTGCTTAGATTTAAACTTTACAAGGTCAACTACAGGCAGGAAGAATGCGTTAAGTTATTAAAAGCTGTCTCCCATCAATTTAAGCAATCTATTTCACGACTACTTTAATTAAAAGAAGAAGAGAGGGGGTGAAAAAAGCAAACACGAAATTCAATCTTTTCAATAACATAGACAAGGCAATTACTTTTCTGCTCAAGCA